ATTGTATAAGAAGATAGTTAGAATTTTTTTTTCCAGTCAATTCTATTAAATCATAAATTCTAGTAAGGGAGAACACCCCTCAAAACAAAAAAACTTTTTTTTTTTTTTGGTTAAAAGATGAATAATGAAAAATAATTTTTATTAATTTCAAAATATTTTTCATTTATTTCAAAATAAAAATTTTCATCACTATTTTTAAAACATTTTTTACTCAAATTTTAGTAGTAGTAAATAATATTTCAGACATATGTCAACAGTCCCAAATATAAATGACCACATCACAGCTTTTGAAAGTAGTGGTGTTTGATAAACTTGAAAATTAAATGTTGAATTTTTTAAATTAAAAATTTATTTGATAAAAATTTAAGTATTAAATTAAAAATAAGTTATTTGATATGTATAAAATTAAATTTAAAATTCATTATTTTCAAATTGTATATTTTAATATTTATATTGTAATGGTTGTGGTGGTAATGGTTGTGGTGGCATGATAGTGGTGGCGGCGATGGTAGCGGTAGCAATAGTAATAATAGTAAAATGATGGTGATGCTTATAGCAACAACGACAATGGTGATAAAGGTGGTGGTGGTGGCAGCGGCGGCGGTGGTGACAGTGACGGTGACATGATGACGGTGGTTGCGGTAGTGGTGGTGGTAGCAGTAGTGGTGGTGGTGGTGTTGGTAGCGATAGCGATGGTGGAGGCGGCTGTGGCTGTGGCTGTGGTTGTGGTTGTGGTTGTAAGTTTATAATAGTATATATCAATATGTATGTCTAATATTTATAAATTTAGTTAAGATTAAATAAATTTTATATAATTTAAAATTTTCTTAAATTTTAGTCGATCCTCCCCTCCCGTCTGTTTTAGCAACTTATCTAAGGTCTCGTCGCTAGGAGCTCCCCGGCGACAACAGAGGAAGCAATATGCCTACTGTGGCGGGACGCCTTTTTTCTTTCACAATAAGACCTGGATGATTATCCCTACCCTCGGTAGCTTACGAGTCTACATCCATCCTTAGTCGGGTACAGTTTCCCTTTAATTTCTTCCTTGTAGCCATTACCCGAATTCGTGCAAGTGTGTCCACACCCCTCCCAAACTAACCTGCATCAACAACTTGACGTGAATGACTGTTTTCTTGGAACTCACTTTCTGACTTGTTCATAAAGGATTTACGTGGAATCGGTGACTGACCTTAGTCAAGGCACTTTTGGACGAGATTTTTCGATGCTCTCTCACTTGAAGAAAGCTAGCTCAAATTTACTATTTATTTTTCAGTATTAAATCTCAACCACACAATACACCACTTTAGAAAACTTTAGAAAAAAAATACTTTAGAGGATCCTTGGTGCGAATTCGTGCAAGTGTGTCCACACCCCTCCCAAACTAACCAGCATCAACAACTTGACGTGAATGACTTTTTCTTGGAACTCACTTTCTGACTTGTTCATAAAGGATTTACGTGGAATCGGTGACTGACCTTAGTCAAGGCACTTTTGGACGAGATTTTTCGATGCTCTCTCACTTGAAGAAAGCTAGCTCAAATTTACTATTTCTTAAGATATTGTTGAATGAGTTCATTTTTTTAGTATAAAGTTGAGGTGAAGAAGTGGAGTCAATTAGGGGGATGGGGGAGAAAGGCCTAGCCTACATTTTCAGAGCTATTTAAATTTTTAAATAATATCAATTGTAATTATCAAACAGATTTAATTGATTATCACATAATACATTTAGTTTTAAGTTTTGAATTATGTTATTAGGCACCATCAATCTAAAAAAAAAATTATTATGCGTCCTTGGAATAATATTCTATTTTCAATTATTAATTGATATCTTTTGTACGACAATGCTACGTAACTCAAATTTTGTGGATCAAAAGTGGCTCAAATGGCCAAAACGACGTCGTTTTGAGTACAGAACAACATAAAAATGGCCAAAACGACGTCGTTTTGGCCATTTGAGCCACTTTTGAGCCACAAAATTTGAGCTACAAGACATTTTCCATCTTTTGTATTATCTTGTAAATATTAACGTAGAAGTGATAGATTTTATTATCAAAAATGTTTGAGAGCTCTAAATTAGCTCTAATGGATGGGGTCCATCTATTGATGTGATGTTTTGGCCTTCTTCTTTTTTATTTTTTTTTTCTCATTGTCCCATAAGTAGAGCTCAACAGTGCTCTACTTTTAGAGCTCTCTATCACCACTCTTTTGTTATTTAGTTCAATAACTATTTATTTGACAGACTATTCATACTTATTAGTAGCATTGAATAATTTTTTGATTTCAAATGTAGCTTAACTATTAAGTTACTTAGGGCTCATTTAGGAACATGTTATTTTAGTAACTTTTTAACTTTTTAGTTAAAATATGAGGTAAAAAAAGTTAGTATCTTTGGAATAATTTTCTAATTTTTTACGAAAAGATGTGTAAAAAGTAAAAAAAAAAAAGAAAATCTTTAACTTTTTAGTATAGATTATAGGCTTTTTAATTTTTGAATAAAGGTTGAGACCCCCTTTGGGGGTCACCCCCTTGACCCCTCTTAGTTTTGATTGGTCTATTTTTTCTTTTTTTTCTTCTCACCCAATCCCCAACCTCCATGTATGTGAGGGGGTTGTGGGGGTGGGTGTTTTAAGGGGGTCTAAATCAATGCCCTTAATTTTTTTAGTAATTTTTTGACTTTTAGAATAAAATAAGCACTTACCAAATGAGACCTTAGTTTGTCGTCTAAGATCTACCAAATTTTTTTTTTTTTAAATTTTATTATTGATAAAACTATTTTTTAAAAAAAACTAATAAAATGAGATCTAGTTTTAAAAAAAACACAACACATGCAAGTACACTAGAACTTGAATGAACCCATAAATGTTAATGTCGACCTTTTACCAAATTCAGTGAATTAGATTTCTCTGCCCACACAATCATTAATTAACATGACCATCTGTACCCAAATGACCAACATTATCTAGTGATTGATGAATAATTAGAATTTCAAACTTCTATAAACATTAGTTTGAACAAAATAATCAAAGATAATGGGTGTGTTTGGTTTATGTTTATAGAGTAATTTTTAGATAAAAAGTACGAAAACTTGTTTGGTTTGTCTTTTTTCAGAAATAGTTTTGAAAAATTATTTTGGAAGAGAGAGTTTTAAAAAAAATGATTAATTTGATGTGTATGAGAACGAGTGATTTTGAAAAGTAGGTAACCAAACAAAAATTTAAGATTTTTTTTGAAAAAATTTATTTGATTTGATTATTTTTGAAAATTTATTTATAGGGAATTTTTTCAAATTTTTTTTTGAAAAACAAACCAAACAAGGCTAATAAAAAAAGCAAATATCAAAATAACAATATCAGCTGGATTATTGTAACGAAGAAGATTAATAGACCGAATTTGAAGCGAAAAGAGGCGGACGTGTTGCAATTAGGGTTGAGCAAGGAATCCGTGAAATTCGTAATCCGATCCAGTCCAGTCCAATCCGATAGGTTTGGATTAGTTTTTTGAATCCGTGGTTCGGTTCCGGATTGAAGAATTAAAAATCCGTAGTCCACGGATTGGTTCCGGATTGAACTCCACGGTTCCGGATTGGAACCGATCCGAACCGTATGCAAATAGTCTATATTTTTATTATACATCCTCCTTCTTATTCTATATAAATCATAAACTCAAACTTAAACCCGTATAATATCTTCTTTTATTACTTTTGTTCGTTAGTTTATAGGTTTAATTTATAATGGCCTAAATTTTTATGGTGAAACCAGTTTTCTTATTGTTGTTTAAATTTTAGAACATTATTTTGCTATTATAGAAAAACATGTTACTATTGTGGAATTAATATAGCACTATGTTTATGTTTTTATGAAATTAAAGTATTATATATATATTTTTTATTGTTTAATTATGTGAATCCGTGGTCCTAAACCGATCCAATCCGTGTTTAAATGGATTAGTTCGGATTGGTTCCATGATTTAAACGGATTGGATTGGTTTCAATTTTTCAAGAACCGTACATAACGGATTGGTCCTGGTTTTATCCCAATCCGATCCAATCCGGACCATGCTCACCCCTAGTTGCAATGCCATTGGAGATTACTAAAGTGGACCGTGCCATGGCTCAATGCATGGCTGCCACCTCAGTTGATTTTGAAACAAAATTAGAACCAAATAACCATACTCATATTATAATTTCTCATAAAACATGAGAATCAAAATTTATCAAACTTTTTTTTTGACTTACTCATCTGACTCGTAAGTTTCTTTTATAAAATTTTGACGTAAAAAATTGACCATGTAGATACATCAGATGAGAAGGTTTATGTCTCCGGTAATAAATACGTGTGAGATTCATTGTTATGTATTTAGGCCTCGTTTGGAAACAGGTTAATTTAGTAACTTTTTAGCTATTTGGTTAAAATATGAGCTAAAAAAAACTAGTATGTTTGGGATGACTTTTTAGCTTTTTATGAAAAGATGTGCAAAAAGTAGAGAGAAAAAAGAATCTTTGACTTTTTGGTATAGGTTGTTGGCTTTTTAGCTTTTTGACTTTTTTAGTAACTTTTTGACTTTTTGGCTAAACCAACCTGTTGCCAAACGAGGCCTAGTAAAAAATCAATTTACGCATAGCATTTTTCAATGTTCAGTGGATAATAAATATATAGGACAAATTACACATATAGTACTTATGTATCGGCTCTTATGTCATTTTAGTTTTTATATTTTTAATTAATTTAATTTTGATTCATAATTTCAGATTTATGTCAATTTAATCTAATTAATAACGGTGTTAGAGATTTTGATGTAAAATGAACATTCAGAATTCGTTAATTTATACAAGTTTATAATTTTACCCCTAAAGAATGACACATATGTAATTATGTCTATACTTTTCATAAAAAATGTTAATAGTTGTTATTAATTGAACTAAACTCAGACAAAATCATAAATTTAAAGTCAAAATCAAAACAGTGAAAATTATAAAGACTAAAATAACATAAAGATCAAAATATAAGAACTATCGGTATAATTTATTCAAGTAAATATCATTGAACCCTTCTACAAACCTTAGTTTTTCATCAACACACACCACAACAAATTTATTAGAAAACCAAAACCAAATTCAAAAACAAAATAACAAAATCCAAATCAAGACAAGTTTTGCTAATCCCAAATCATCACAACTGCCATAACTCCAACACCAAGAAGCACAGCAAGAAACTTGAAAAATGGAGAGTCAAAATAACAGGGACCCTGTGGTTTGAACCCTTTGGCAATGAGATGGTTGATGGCAACATAGATGAAAACACCACAAGCAATTCCCATGGAGATGGCATAGGTCCAATCAGCTGCTGAGCCTTGAGTTGTGGCATCAATGGCAATCCCTATTCCAACCCCAACTGGGCTTGAAATGGCAAAGGCAAAAGAGTATGCCGCTGTCATTGTCAATGGCCTCTTTGGTAACATCCTTAATAGTGCTATTCCCATTGCAATGGCTGCAAATATCTTGTGCAATGAAATTGTCCATAGGTTTCTCCATGCATCTCCCTTTGTAGCTGAAAAAAAATATGAAAAATACTATCCTTTAGTACCTTACAGAACGTTTATACAGAATTTACAATCAGAATGAAATACAAGTGATATTTTTGAAAAGAAATCGCCAAATCATCAAAAATTTTATATAAAAAATAGGATTAAATTCAGTTTACTCTTTCGTGGTTTAAGCCTGAAGCCTGTTACCCCCTTATATGGTTCAAATATAGTTAGAAAATTTCCATGTGATTTTGGATTAAAGTGCTACCCTAGGGTTAATTTTTAAATGATAAAGGATTTAGTATTAATTTTAATCTAAAATAATTAAATTAAAATTAGATTAAAAATTAAGAATTAAAATAAATAATTAAGGATTTAGTATTTGTTATGATCTAAAATATAATTAAATTAAAATTAGAATAAAAATTTAAGAATTATAATAAATAATTAAGAATCTATGATTAATTGTGATTTAATTAAATTAATGTTAAACATTATAAATTATGTGCATGAAAGGTGAGAGAGAAAGAAAATAACAAAAAATGTATAAGGTTTGAGAGCATTATAGTAATTTCATATTTATAGTTAACGGTTATACTTTGATCCAAAATCACATAAAAAAATTTCAAGTATATTTGAATCATCGAACAGTAAAGTACCTCAAACCATAGGGGATAAAATAAAATTTGCCTGGATTTTTTTGTAAAAAAAAAAAACTTTTGGAATGATTGTGGCAACAGTATACTAATAAATTATGATCCTTACATTACATTATATTATGTTTTTAAATGAAGGACCATTACAAGTCATATCATTTTATGTATAATTTATTGTTTATAGATTATTTCTACTTATAAGTCATCTGGATGGATTTTTGCTTTAAAAAATTGATTTATGAAAACTTATCATCTAGTTTTTCTCTTTGTCTAGTTTAACTCTGAAAATATTTTTGTTTATTGGAGCAATGCAATTAATTAGTAAATAAAAATTTTATCCAAAATAATGTTATAGTATTATTTTTATAATTATAAACTATAATGATAGGTGTTTTAATTTAAAATGAAACAACAACAAAATACCCTATGACAATTGGGTACAAAAATTTTGTTTGTATTAAGATTAGGAAAATTTTTGAAATCCCTAAAAAGATTTATCTACAGTGATTTGAACTACTTTATGTTAGTTATTGATTAGTTTCAAAATTAACTAGTAAGACCCAATCTCGCATCATTAAAAGTGAATTTAAGGATAATATTTAAGAATCTCTAACATTTCTAATAATTATCATATAGCCAACACTGCTAACAAAAATTACCAACTACTAGCATAGAGGATTAATATCATCTCCATTACATCAATGGGTACATGAATTTATCATTATTTTTAATTAAGAATCAGTCAAAAAGGAGACTTGGCATGTGTTTGTCTGGAGCTTCTTGTAGATAAAAGTCCTTCATCAAGGACTTCACCAAACAACAAAATAATGTTGAAAGGGACTTTTATCATGCGAAAAGACTTTGAAAATTCTAGCCAAACCCAAGGACCACCTAAACTAAGACAGGGAAACTATTAGTTACTGATTGGAGAATACTGCTCCAACTCTTCAGGGTTAGTTCCCTCAAGGACTTTGAATAGTAAAAGCTTGACTTCATTAGGGTTTTAGGATTTTTATTTTTTTATTTTTTGGATTACAAAACTCTAATTAAGAAGACAGATCAAGAATGGTGGAACACCAAACTGCACCCACCAAGTTCTATGATTTTTTTTACGAGCTCAAAGTTGTGAAGATTTTGTTAGGTATTGCGAAACAGTTGATTGTTGGGTCTTGGATCCTGCGGACCTTGATAAGTATTATATAATGAGTCCTAGATTTAATAGAGGTTTGGGGGCTCTTCTAAGGGATGGGGTCCGAATTTTGTGAGTACTTTAGTAATTTCTTCTTTTTTTTTTCTGTGTTTTAATTTTTATATTTATAAGTAGATGAAGGGATATCTCTAGGATGGTAGAGAGTTGTAATCATTTTATAATTATAGTGAAAATTGCAGCAACCGTTTATGTAGTTCTGTTTTGGGATAACCTAGAGAAATTTTTGTGTTTCTTGTGTGTGTAATTTTTTCGATTCATTTTATTTTTCTTATTTGGTATTTTATGTCTTGCTGATTTTGGTTAGGAAGAGTTGATTTCTTGTCATCAATGAGGATAGTGGAGATATAAAAATAGAAATAAATAAACAAGAATTATAAATCATATGCATACATAATTATAGTGAAAAATGATTTGGACTTCTAAAAAAATACCTCTAATGCACTTCTAATTTGTCTTTTTTTTCTCCTATTTTTGTCTTTTACTTCACTTTTTTTTTTTTTTTTTTTTTTTTTTTTATTTATTCCCGGATAGCTCATTAGAGCTGTACGGCATGACCTCTAATTAGAGGTATGCAACAGGATTGTTTATGTTATTCACTCCAAATCCACTATCACTACAATTTCACTATATTTTTAGAAAGAGCGACAAACAAGATAGAACGATAATTGACCTCTCAATTTTATATACATATAATTAGGATTATAATCAAATCACAAGTGGCAAAAATATCAAAATACTCTTAATTCAAAAAATTATTATCTATTTATTGGGATACACATTATCCCCCAACAAATTTTACTTTCATTTGAAAGTTCTAGACCTATGAACAAGCTCAATCAAATTAAGCTTCATGGTGAGTTTCAATTACTAAGTAAAGAACACACGAAAATAAAAGGTTTATGTAAATTGAAAACACAAAAAGCACCTAAAATCATATTCATAATTTGAATTATGTGAATTAAGTTTATGCTATAAATTTAAATTCTGCATAATTTCTAATTATGTAGTACAAAAATATAACGTATTACGGAAAAAAATTCAAAAAAATTATTTCGAAGCCATGACTATCAACCAACTAATCGATTCTCAGTTGTGCCTGATTAATTGGCCGGTCGACTAGTCACAACTTCCAGACAATTTATTTGAAATATTTTTGGTGAGGGCTAGACTTATTGGACATAGTATTTATGTTCAAAAACTAATGTGCACTAGTTATACTCACATGAAATTCCAATAGCAATACCCTCAAAAACAGAATGGAAGCACAAGGCAAGTATGAGAAGTATAGTATCCCCAAATGAAGTTGTCCTCGCAAAACCTGGGTGTAGATCCACCCCCACCACCTCTTTCCTCCTCCTCTCCTCCTCCTCAGTCCTACCACCACCACCTTCCACCTCCACTTTGGCCTCTCTCTCTGCATCCTTGGTCACCCACATCACCACACAATCACCAAGCATAGTAATCAGATACCCTGAAGACGCCAACATGTACGAAAAAGGGTATGCTTTGTTTGTGAGATCAAGAAAACCCGATGTGGAATCTTTCAAGAAATGCATAAGAGAAGTACCCAGAAACACTCCTCCGGCAAACTGAGTCCCCAAGAGAAGAAAGCTCTCGTTCCACCTTAGAAAATAAGGGGAGACTCCTCCGGCGAAGGTGCTCAAGAAGAGGATGATCAGACACCATACTTTCACCAGAATTAATCCCTTCGAATGCAAATTCACGTTGCCGGTGTCACCGGAGTTATGAGTGTCGCCGCCGTGACTATTGGTGTTGGAGAATTGGAGGGAGAGTAGGAGAGCTATGATGAGAAAAGTTGACTTGAGGGTCTTGAAAGAGGCCATGAACAAGGTTTGATGAACTAACTTTCTTTCTTTCTTTTCTTTAAATTGTTTTTTTTTTTTTTTTTTTTTTTTTTTTTTTTTTTTTTTTTTTTTTTTTTTTTTTTTTTTTTTATTTAAAAAAAAAAAAAAAAAAAAAAAAAAAAAAAAAAAAAAAAAAAAACAAAGAGGCAGAACTGCACACCAAACTCATTTTATTCATGTCGGGGCTCCCCCCGGTCACCATTATTAAAAAAAAAAAAAATAAAAAAAAAAATACATCTCCAAGATCAAAACATCACATTCCAAGCATTTTTCATAGATTTTTGTGTGTCTCTCATTAATTTGCAGTACAATTTGTTGTACTACACAAACCGCGTACAGAATGGCATTGGGTCGACCTCAGACCTTGTAGGAGAGAATTGTTAAAATATTTTTAAAATTTAACAAGTACTTATACCTCCGTTTGGAAAGCGAGTATGTTTTTTGATTTTTTAATTTTTTTAATTATTTTAATTTGAAATTAAAAAATTTGGTTTGAAAAGGATTTTTAATTTTTTTTGAGAGAAAAAATGTAATAATTATGAGTTAGATGTGATATTTTGTCTTATTGAGTTAAAAAGTCTATTTTATTTTTTATAGCTAAAATAGCCAAAATAAGTCTGGAAACCAACTTCCCAAACGGAGCATAGTTTTGGTAGTTTTCAGAATTAATTTCACTTGTTTATGAGATCAGTAAGAATAAATGAAAAGGGCTTAATATATATAAATTATATTTCATATCCTTTTATACGTTATATCTTAGGCCTCAAATCCAGTTTATACTAATGATTTAAATTGTTCATCTCGTATGCCTGACAGTGTAAATAAATGTGCATAAAATTTGACATTACTATAAATATGAATAAATTATATTTTATTATTTAAAATATTTATTTTATAAAATAAATTACAATTTATTTATTAATATCGAATTAAATTAATTTTTTCACAAACAGTTTTCACTATAAAATTTGCGAGGTAAATAATTTAGATCATCATTCTGGGCTTTGATGTAATCTACAAAAATAAATGGTAAAATAATATGAAAAATAATAGTATGGAAATGACGCATTCCCAACTTTTAATGCCACTTATTTTTATTAATTATGACTAATTTAAAGATTTGATCTTTTTGTTGTTTTCTTGCAGTCTAAAAGCATATGAGTAATGCTATATATGTGTATTGATTTCCGACCACACTGCTAATTAAACATTTAATTAGAGAACACTGACAGAATAGATTAAGCCCAAATAACCTGTCACAGAAAGATAAGAATCTCGCTGTGGTTCGTCCACTCAGGAGCACTCCGACGATCAAGTTAGTAAAATATCTCTCAAAGATAACCAATAGTGCTTAACTTACTAGACAAAGTATAAAAGACATACCTTAGACTCATGGGGGTACCTCTCTTTTATAGCCAACACAAACCTAGTCTCAATAGAAGCCTAGATTCAATGGACTTAGGATTACTGCTAATTTTAGACTCCCAGTAGGATTGTGATAATCTCTCTAAGAGTCTTATCTTTACCTAAACTGAAGTCTTCTCTAAAACATTATGTCCCCACAACGGCCCCCTAGGTTCTATTACCTCGGCATCCTGAGGTAATGGAACCTATATCATTCCTTTATTTAATCACGACCCTGGTTTAACTTCAGCTTGTAAATTTTTCTTAAAATTTCAACAAGTGTTAAACATGACCTCGATTTAACTTCAACTTGTAAATTTTTAAAATTTCAAGAAGTGTTAAACATGACCTCGGTTTGACCGGAGAGGTCACCTCGGCATCTTGTCACTTTCTCTGGAGGTAATCTCTCAGATCCTCCTTGGTTCGTCTAGGAGCTCGGCTATCTCCAGATTTCAACCTCTTTGGTGCACCACTTCCAGTGTCATTGTGAGTCCTTTTGGACCTCCTTCCATTGGTCGTGTCGAAACAGAGTTCTTTCTCCTGAACGTCCCGATATTCTTTGGTGCAGGTTTCTTTTGTTCGACATGTCTTCTGGGATTCTCCATGCCCGACCTCCCGCAAAGTCCGGTGAGAATGTCCCTTGATCGCGCCATGTTGAGGGACTGTAGGAACCGTTTTCTGCCCCACTTTTTGGGCACCTTTCTTGGCTGCTGGAATCGGCGTATCTTGTAGCGGGAGTGGTGGTTACATGACGTTGTTCTGCATCATGAAATTGACGACCGTTTGCAGGTCTACCAATTTGTCCGCCATTCCTTTCATCTCGTTGTCCCTCCGCAGGCATCTATCTTTCCATACTTGGAGGTCGTCCTCGTTATAATACCCGCTCCGGTCCGATTTCTTCGATACGCCGCCCTCCTGGCCGACGTCCTTTCCTTCGTGATTCTTATCACGAGTTTCTTCATTGCAGTTGTCTTTTTCGACGTCAAGGTCAATATGTTTCCCACTCTCAGTAGGGGTGTCGTCCCCAACCTTCTCTTTTTGTCCGTCGTTGGCCATCTATTATCCTTTCTTTTCCACAGACGGCGCCAAATTGTGTGTGTTGATTTCCGATCACACTGTCAATTAAGCACTCAGTTGGAGAATACCGGCAGAATAGATTAAGTCCAAACAACCTGTCACAGAAAGATAAGAATCCCGCGGTGGTTCGTCCATCCGGGAGCACTCCGACGATCAAGTTCGTAAAATATCTTTCAAAGATAACCAATAGTGCTTAACTCACTAGACAAAGCATAGAAGACATACCTTAGACCCATGGGGGTGCCTCTCTTTTATAGCCAACATAAACATAGTCTTAATAGAAGTCTAGTTTCAATGGACTTAGGATTACTGCTAATCTTGGACTCCCAGTTGGATTGGAAAAAACTCTCTAAGAGTCTTATCTTTACCCAAACTGAAGTCTTCTCTCATGCTAAGACTCTTGTCCCTTATCTGCTTATCCTAGATTCCGGTATTCTAACCGATAACCTCGACCTAGCCAAAATTATCTCGGCACCATGACCAGGACACGTGGCACCCCGGCTGGCACTTCGATGACACCTCGGTCCCGTGTTGTCACTCAAAAATTATGTCCCCACACTATACAAATAAAAAATTTATTCATTATTTTCATAGGTAAAGTTATGACTCATTGTGAATCTTTCATTTCAAAATAAAATACCATTAAAAATGAGTTTATTTATAATAATGATATTACCATATCACTATTGTCAATTTTTTTGTATAAATTTTTTGTATGAATGCCATTTTCCTTATGTTAAAGGCTATGAATGTTTCCAATTTAAAATTCTAACTTGAAAGCATTGTTGGTTCTCAATGGACACATCATAGAATCCACCTTAATAATTCAATCCATTCATATTGTAAGTTTCTCCAAGCAAACTATTCATGCAAAAAATTATATTAATTAAGAGAAGTGCTACAAACTCCCACGACCCCCATACACCTGTGAGAGAGAGAGGAGAAAAAAAAAATACATAATGAGTAGTCACCAATCAATTGAGGGTCACCCATTTTGAGGGTGTCAAGCATTTTTCATTAATTAAATAATTGTAACCACATGAGTTGATTACATTTGTTTTCAAAAAATAAAAATGAACCATTTATTCTTAAAATTTTGTATTTTTATTTATTTTATTGAAGACAAATATGATTCAATTATGTTGTTTCAGTGATTTAACCAATTAGATTTTATTTTATTATTTTATTTTATTTTTTTTACATAAATGATCTACTCATACGTTTTGTACAAAATAAATATGGGTAAATCACACTTTGCTCTTTTTATATTTGGCTATTTTTTCCACTTTGGCTCTGGAAGTTTTTTCCCCCATGTTGACCCTTCATGTTTCAGTTTTTTGTTTCAATTTACTCTTAAAACTAACTTATGTTCAAAATTAAACAGAAAATGTCTATGCTATATAATATAAAAATATATATATTATTATATTGGGATTTGGATTTGTATTAGAGGTGCGAGTTATATATAATAAAACAAAAATGCTAGAGACATTTGGTGGAATATTTGATAAAACTTTTGAAATCTCTAGTATTACTCATAATAAAACAAACATGTGGGTTCCACACTCATGTGTGATATTTAGTAGAATATTTAATAAATTTTTTGAAATTTCTAGGATTACTCATAATAAAATATTTTTATACCATGTGAATGTTAATTTGTCATTTCTATCTAATTTTAAACATAAATTAACCTTTTTAAAAATTTGAGAAAAACTTAAAACGTGTAAAAAAAAAAAAAAAAAAAAAACTTTCAACATTAAAGTTTTAATGACTGGTCAAATATAAAAGAATAAAATATGATTTACCCAAATAAATAATTCAAATGATTAGGATGGATCTTAATAGGTTCATCAAAGGCCAAAGCAGAGAGAATGGCCCTTCCTACACGAAAATAGTCTCTCATCTGTACCAAAAAAAAATCATATAAAATAGGGTGACTCCATTTAAATCCAAATAATAATTTAATATGCCTAATTAAAATATTACAATTTTAGTTCTTATTATATTCTATATAAATTTACTAATAAGATAATACACATTAAACTCGAAAATAAAATATATTTTTCTCTCATGGTACACCCAAATTCTTCATATTGAACTTTCTTCATCTTCGTCCCTAAGTTTAAATTATTTTTCTTCATCTTCTTTTTCACTACAATATTCCAATTCATCACCCCATCAAAATGCATCATTATCATCAACTACTGTCCCTATTTGTTAATAAAATATAAGGAATTCTTCCTCTAATAGTGAGATCTGGTTGGAACTTAACAAATACTTGGAAATCTCTCTGGTAGCCTACTAAATTCTTCATTAATTCGGTAGGGACTGTCGAGTATTTGATGTCGCCTATGACGTTGTAGTGTTGTGAATGGTGTGAGTGGGGAGACGCAGTATTAATATTACCAGCGCCCCCCTCCCGCTGATCTGAACCGTCCATTGCTATACTTATGGACACGTGTATGGATGTAGTAAAAAGGAAGTCACACCCGGGCCCAGGTGTGAGTGGTGTGAGTACTTTTGATTCCTTTGCCAGATAGTGCTATACACATGTCGCTCTTCTGGTGGTTTGCGTGGC